GCTCTGATACCACTTGTTGGTCCCGTTTAATATGGTAACCAGTCTAGAGGGGGGGGGGGGGTGAATAGACTGGTTAGTTTTTCAAATTTTCTCCAAGTCCAAATTGACTTATCAGAGAAGGTCTGATTCTGATGACAGAGAAAGGCTGGTTCTGATATCAGAACTGGCCTTGGCAGCGGATTCTGATCTGTCCGGGTAGCCTCAGAACCACTAAGGCAGATGCCTTTCTGATAACTCTGAAAACAAGATCTGCTGAGCACAGATTCCAAGTCTTAGAGTTAATCAGTTAATATCCTAAGTGCAGAAATATAAATTGCAGTAAAGTAAATGACACCGGATATTTTATAGTGGTTCAAGGAACAACTCGTTCCTCTAGTCCACTGTTCCACTAGCTTTGAAGTAGATCGGTTACAAAGCTTAGTTCCTAGCACTTAAGAAGTTCTCCACGCCTTCTTCAAGTCTAGCTGCCACCCAGGATGCAATTCCACGTCCTGATGGCTGATCCTTTCACTCAGCTTCCCGGAAGTATCACCACTTCACTACTGCAGTTACTTGGACGCCCTTCTTTTCAGAAGATTCTTTTGAAAAACAGAGTTTTTCCTCCAACTTGCTTCGTTACAAAGGATGTTTGATGAAGTTCTTGAAGTGTTGAAGAACAGGATGAACTTTGCTTGTTTGTTGGGGATGAAAGATTTGGAGTTTGAATCTTCCCAACGTAAGCTTGTCTTGTTGAAGGTTGTAGAATTTTAAATTCAAGAGAGCTTGAATGATGATGAGCAAAAGTTGTAGCAAAGTTGTTTTTCAGTTCTTCGGTATGTAGCTTATATACGGAGGTTGTCTGCCCGTTGGAGGAGGAGACAACTGCATTAAATGCGCGTACAGTTGACTTGACCGCCGTTTTTGGAAGGTTTCTATTTTTAAAATATATCTTCCCGGATTCCTTGGTCAATCATTTGCAATCAATCCTTCAGCGTATCAGGCTCATTTAATGTGCATTAAATGCTTTCCTTTCATGCACAGTCTTCTAGCCGTTGGATGTTTTACCCGTTGGATTCATAGCTGTTGGATGTTGCTTGAAATCTTCTAAGTGTTAGTCGGGCTCTGATCAGGTTCTTCTGATATGTTGGATTCTGATGGCTATCTGATGAGTTGAGTTCTGATGGTCTTCTGACTGAGCTCTGACTCTGACTCTGATAGGTCCGCTGATGAGTACCTCTGATCTGTAGTTCTCATCGGCTATCAGATGTTCAAGTTTATCAGCAACTCTCATAGGTGCAACTCTGATGGACTTCTGGTAAGAGAACTCTGATGGAGCAGTTCTCATAGAGCAAGTCTGGTAGAGCAGTTCTGATGCACTTCTGATCTGATCCAAAATAGAGCAACTCTGATCGTCGACTACACTAATACTTACAACTGAAAATTCTAATACATAAAATCTAATTTGGGGGTACTTTAAAATTCTAATCCTATAGCATCATCAAAATCTAATTACATTTATTCCTTACATGGCTTCATCGCTGTTTGGTAGCATGATTTAGCAGCTGCCATGTCGCCTTGGATGGATTGCACTCCCCACGGTGTTGAAACTTTGACAACCTGATGATGTGTTGACGGGATTGCCCCCATTTGATGTAGCCAAGGCGTCTCCAATATCATGTTGTAGGCGGGCAGATCTTGGACTACATCTAACTTTACCTGCAAGTTAAGACCAACAGTATGTACAGACAAAGAAACATTACCTATTGTCTGGCTTGGTTCGCCATTGAATCCGACAAGGGTGGAGCCAGACGTAGCCAGGTCTTCTTCTTTGTATCACATCTGCTTTAGCGTCTTCAATGTTGTGATGTTGGTTGTGCTGCCGTTGTCAACCAAGACTCGCCTCACCTCACAATTCACCACCCTAAGAGCAATGACTAAGGTGTCATGATGGGCATCGCCTGAGCTAGTCAGATCCGTTTCATCGAACGTGATAGTCTCACGTCTCCAGGCTTCCTCCTTTCGGACGACTTGGTACGCTTGTGACGACTTGTCTCACGAATACTCCCGAGCTTGTCTCTTCGCTGCAGAGTAGGTTAGTCCACATAAATCTGAACCACCATTAGTGAAATTAATTACCTTTTGGGGGTCTGTAGGCGAGCGAGGTCGTCATTGACCCTCAGACGACTTCAGATTCCTATGCAACATGGATTTGGTTTGTTCCGTCATGATTTCCGTCAAATACCCGTTTCTCAGTAGGTAGGCAACTTCTTTCCGCAAGGAAACGCAATCTTTTGTGTTATGGACGATGTCGTTGTGGTCCGCAGCGAATCTGAGATCGTAAAGCGTCGTTTTCCCTTTGTAGGAAGGCTATGCGTTGACGTATTTCCTCCCTGACAGCCTCCATTTGCGCCTGAACATCATCCGCCGAAGGATTAGAGCTCCTGGCCAAGCGCAACTCTTCCCTGACAGCTTGCAATTGGGTTTGAATTTCCTCCATCAAAGTGTTAGAGCTTTCAGCCAAGATCGATCTTCTTTTTGCAAGAATTTCCCACAGACGGCGCCAATTGTTTTAACTAGAAATTAACTAATCTATGAATATGGAATTGAGTTGGGAATCAAGCAAATAAGATCGAATAAGAATGATTGACAAGATAAAATAAATGGATTTATCTATAATCGATAATTTGAATATAATATGAATAGCTATGAACTCCAATAGAGAGAATAGGAGAGCTCTTTTGTGTGTATTTGTAACTGAATGTGCTGATTACATAGAGCCTGAGCTATTTATAAGAGATGCATTTAATGTACTTTTGTCCGTTGACGACATGTTCCGACCGTTACGACGACATGTCCGACCGTTACGACGACATCAATATCGTCATTATTGCATCATCAATTCTGGTCAGCCCTTTGAGTAACCTATGTCATAATTACAATAACCACTCTAATTATATACATAAAACTGCCCAGATTTAATTAGCTAACATTACTTCTAATTAATTGCCATGATCAAGCCTTTTTGAATGCAGTCCAAGCTATCAAATCCGTGTACCAACACTAGAATTACAATTGCTTGCAGAATAAATTAAGAGAGATCTAATTTATTCTAGGACACATTCACACACAGTTAAACGTTTGCTAAGAGATTAGTAGCGATTAACACTACAAGAAAAAACGGTTTTTGCGTCAACAAAAAGTTGACGCAAAAAAGCAAAAGTCGACGCAAATACGTTTTTTGCGTCCACATGTCGACGCAAAAGGGTCGACGCAAAAGGCTCGACGCAAATAATGTTTTTGCGTCGACAATGGGTGACGCAATTAATAAAATCTTATTCGCGTCGACATATGGACGGAAAAGATCTTCCGGAAGTAATCATGCATAATGTCGACGCAAAAACTGAGCATTTATTTGCGTCCACATGTCGACGGAAACAATACCCTTATTTGCGTCCACATGTCGACGCCAAAGCCTGTCAGTCATTTTTTTAAAATACATTATTTGCGTCGACATTGTGACGCAAATAGCACTGTACAGGTCTGAAATTACACCACATTACCTATTGCTATTCATACAAAACTTTTATTAATAAACCACTATTACCAAAATCTGTCCAAACACAACCAATGTCAACAACAAATAAATTCATTCAATATCCATAGTAAAAGTGAGTTATCCTACAACGCGGTTTCATTAAATCATTACAAACAACATCACAAAATGTAAACATAAATAAATTCATGTTCATCTTAACAAAGTAAAAAGCATATTCAACTCGATGTTATCAATCTTGATCATGTTCATCGAGACTCCGATCAGGTTGGTTAGCACTTGATGTCGAAGGAACATCATTTGCGGAGCTACGTGAAGGAAGTTGAAAGCCAGGAATAAATTGTTGTAGGGCACGAAGCATCAACTCCTGATTTGCTTGCATCAACTCTTGATTTGCCTTCAATTCACTTATTTGAACATCCCGGTGGTCTTGGAACGTTGAAGTAGCCCCATCTTCCACTCGTCGAGATGCACCCTTTGATAGGGTAGGACCCACTCCGCTTTGGCGTCCGCGATATCTTCTCAAGTTCCGGTGCATAATATCAATCTCATTTATTGAAGACGATGACCCTGTTTGTCATAGCTGTGTTTGGTACTCTTCACTCATTTGAGTCTATCAAATTACAATTCATATAGTTACATATCATTATGATTACAATTAATAAAATATTTTTTAATATACTTACATATTTTTCATGTGCTTCTTTTGTTCTCCATTCACCACTACGAGTCAAACGTTGATCTTTCCAATTTTCAAGAGCTGAGTACTGCTCACCAGTTTCTGGATCATCCTGTTTAATATTCATTATAATTGTCAATATCTAAAATAACATGAATGATCAATAAGTAACATTCACATTAAATTAGTAGCTTGAAATTTTAACATTGGTCGATCAATAATCACTACCGCAACATTAAGGATTGTACTACTAGATACAATCTTTGAAAAACCTGCAAAACTAAAGCAGAAATATACGACTAAGCGATATAGATAGTGCTTATTAAATATATACGAGGGGTAAACTATATATAAACTAAGGCCTTAGGGACACCCCGAAACAAAACTGTACCAAAAAAAAATACAATGAATCATACAAAAAATCAGCACCATACCTAAAAAACGACACCCAATTAAACTACAATATAACATAAAAACTGCCAAGGAAATTACATCAAACATTCATATGTCATTAAACACCAATAACAAATATATGTAATCACCCAATCACTGCCACATATCACAACTCAAAATGAAATAACAAAGACTCATTTCTTACTTTTTCATGCATGTATTGGGCATATGATTTTCTCCCATGCCCACTTTTATCATCACTTGCTTCTCTATTTTGTAGGTTTTTCGAAGAAATTTCCTGTAAGCATGAAACTAAGTCAAAAATTAGAACTTTAATTGTATAATAAAAATAAAATATACTCATACTATACCTTGAAATTCGTAGAATTGAATCTATCGCAACACTTCTGCCATTGCTCATCACTTCGTACATTTATAGGTCTCTTAGCTTGCATTCCTCCTTTGTTCTTGAAATACACAGATAAATCACTTTTCCAATCGTTGTAGGACTCTCGAGCATCTCGAATCAATACTTCATCAAAAAGCTTGTCATTATCGCACTCAAACCAGTCCTACAATATGTAAAACATGATCACTATTAGAAATAAATAAATTTAAATCAATAAACCCAACATGATCACTATTAGAAATAAATAAATTTAAATCAATAAACCCAACAAGAAAAGAAGACAAGTTTTTTATAATTACCAACATCCTATGTCGAATCATAGCTTTTTGACAGGCCGGAACATCGTCCCACTTATCGTAGAACGGATCACAACAGTCCCGAGTGTGTATGCCTATTGCGCTTGACCACCAAGAAGCTTTTGGCCCTACTGCCTTCCACGTTTTCCTTGCCGAATCAAATTGAACTTTGATCTTTCCATCTTTAGCTACGGCTAACATAATGTTGTTTCCCTTGGCTGAACCTCTCCCTTTCCGTTTTGTTTTCTGTGTTTCTGAACCTATAAAATTCATTAAACAAAATATAATTTAGTATTGATCATGAATAATTTATATTTTGTTTTCCGTTTTGCATTACATCATACCTGACTCACACGAAGATGGCACTCTATGGGGATCTCGTGGAGGTTGGGATCCTCCACTTGAACCCGCACATGTAGACATTGTTCCTGCCATAAAGTACACCTATATATGTGCATACATATGTAAGGATAATTTAAATGTAAATCAAACATCATCGGAAACCAATAACCATAAAAATATATGGAAAAACATTAAGTCATTTAGTCACGTGCAAAAACATCTAAACAAATAAAGTGCGTACAAATGATCCAAGCATAATTAACAATAAAAAGGCCTCGTATTTAATCATCGTCACTGCTAATATATTTGAGGCTCTCATCATCATCATCATCAACATCATCAGCAACATTGCCATCATCATCATCGTATTCATTACCACTACCATAACTTAAAAACTCACTTTCACCATCTTCATCATACTCATCTTCTTCGTTGATAGTAAAACCACTTTGAAGATTCTCATATAGAGTAATCACATCAGATGAAGCGACATTTGGTGAAACATTTGTGTCATTCCATAACATAGAGTCTAAGTTTGGTACTTCAACATCCAATTCAATACCCGAAGACTCAACATCTTGGACAATACACATATTATCTTCTTGATCCGGGGGAAGGTCCCAAATGTGTCTATGCCCAAAATGTTCAACAACTCTCCATTGTGGGCCATTGTAAAGATCCTCAACATAAAACACTTGCTCTGCTTGAGATGCAAGAATAAAAGGCTCATTTTCATACCAAAAATCCTTGATGCATATGCTCATCTTATTCTTGTACTCTTTCGTTCCCCTTCTTTTTCCTCGCCGATCTAAGCTTGTGTTGTACCACTTACATTTGAAGAGAACAACAGAATTGTTACCTCCGTAACTCAATTCATAAATGTCCTCTAATTGTCCATAAAACACTTCATCATCTGACCCCTTCACAGAAATTCCACTATTTTGAGTTGATCGGTTCATATCCCAACGGTGAGTCAAAAACTTTACTCCATTAACTATACATCCAGGATAACTTTTGAACATCGGACTAAAACGAAAAGCAAGCGAAACCAATTGTTTGTTCACTTCCGGCGTTGAACACTCTTGGAGGGAAAAGATCTAAATAGATAAAGATTTATTAGTTATCAATGAAATTGCACCAAAAAAAATAATATTATTGAAATTATGGATATACCTTCCTTTGAAACCATTCTGGAAACTCCTTAAGTTGAATTTCATCCAAAGAACAGATGGTGTTCCGCAAACTAATCACCTCTTTGTGCTCACTGTTCATCATGTAATTATAATGTGAATAAAGAAACAACATATATTGAGTATGCAAGTATAAATACTTTTAATTACTTACTCAATATACTGTTGGACTTCTGGGCAATTCTGCAAAATGTACCACTCTGCTCTATTTCGCATAACATAGTCCAGAGTTATTAGAGACATTTTTCCGATAGGACGGGTTCGAGGTTGAAAGATAGATAAACTTCCTACAGTGCTAACATCACTTTCAACCCAATTCCTCTCTAATCTGTTGAATCTTGTCTCAATGTCACTCAAATACATTGAGCAAAACGACAATGCTTCATTTGCAATGTAAGCTTCAGCAATGGACCCTTCTGGACGTGCACGGTTTCTAACATACTTCTTCAATGAACCAAGAAACCGTTCAATTGCATACATCCACCTTAAATGAACTGGCCCTCCTCGAATTGCTTCCTCTGGTAAGTGTATGGTGACATGAACCATGATATCAAAGAAAGCCGGAGGAAAGATCGTCTCCAGTTTGCACAATATAACAATGATGTCTTTCTGAGCTTGTTTCAGATCACTTACTCTCACTTTCCTTGAACATATCAACTTAAAGAAATTGCATAGCTCAGTGATCGCATCAACTATCTCTTTCTTAAGAAATGGTCGAATGCCGGTAGGCAACAATCGTTGCATAATAACATGACAGTCATGTGATTTAAGACCTGAAATCTTGCTAGTCCCTCCTATCACATTCTTCCCCAAGTTGGAAGCAAAACCGTCTGGAAATCGTACATGTTTTAAGAATTCACAGAACTTTGTGCAATCTTCTGGACTCAACGTGTATGCTGCATGTGGTTTCATCAATTGCTCACCATCTTTATACAAATGTAACTCTTCTCGAACTCCCCAATGGGCCAAATCAATTCTAGCTTTGTCTGTGTCCTTAGTTTTTCGGTCAATGCTGAGGACCGTACCAAGTAAGCTTTCGCATACATTTTTCTCTATATGCATCACATCTAAATTGTGACGCAATGACAAAGAAGACCAATAAGGCAATTCCCAAAAGACACTTTTCTTGGTCCAATTTAACTCACGTGGTTTTCGTTTGCGTTTAACCTTCTTCCCACCAAAATCTGGATGCTTACCAGGAACACGAGGACACACATTCTGTAACTGATCTAATATCTCTCGCGTGGATTTCTGTTTTGGAGGAGTGCTTTTATCAACCTGGCCATTAAACTTTTTATTCTTCCTCAATATGTGGTCAGTCGGTAGCCATGATCGATGCCCAACATAACATGTAAGCCAATTATATATATTCAAGTAATAAAAAAGATAAAGCAGACAGAAATAAGCTATTAATTATAAATTGAACCAATCATATCTCAGGCAATTACTCTTTCGTGATTTAGAATAACAAAAAAATACTTATTCAAATGTAAGAACATGGTTCTCACAATTAACACAACCTATTACAACTCTGTTGAGGTTTATTCCTTCAACCCTCAGGCCCAACACGTAAGCCCAAAGATTTCGAGTGGATTGTTTGTATGTGTATGTGAATATCTAGCCCAACAACTATTAGATGGATCAGGAAATAGAGGGAATAGCAGGCAATGTAAGTAGGTATTATTAACTTCGTAATAACTCCCCTAAGTACAATCTACTTGCTAAAAAGGCACGTCGGTCGTTCGTCTTACAAGGCAGTTAGAATTGCTACAAGTAAGAAAGCTGAAGCTAGTATGCTAAGAGTAGAAAGTTGCCAACCCTTTACAATGAAATAAATGCTTCTATTTATACCCACCAATGGGCAGGTGGCTGTACTGACGTGGCAGCCTGTGGACCGCTGGTGCCCCAACTACCAAATCTCCAGCATTAAATGCATTTCCCGTCAGAATCTAGGTTTCCCGCCCAATCAGTGGGGACGTTCGTCCGCCTGGGAAGTGAGTTGGATCGCTCCAAGTGACCCTCAAGAGATGCCGGCTGTTCGTCTCCTGGCCTTGATAGATACTCACCCTGTGGACTGGGTTTCCTCTGATGACTATAGGCTTGCCGTGTGGACGTTCGTCGTCATCCCTGGTGGCCCGTGGCCCTGCTCCTTGTCTTTGCATGGACGTTCGTCGGGATGAGCCGCCGGGCCTAAACTTCCAACCCCAGATGTTCGTCCACCCTCAAGGAACATGGGCCTGTGGGCTGGCCTTGTGTTCGGACTGGATGTGCGTCTGGTATGAAGGGATTAATGGGCCGGACCTCGGCTTGGGCCATTAACCCAACACAAGTCCCCCACTTCTGATGTTCTGAGCATACGCAGGACATAAGGAAGTATGGAGTCCCTCGAAGTAGACGTTCGTAACTTGATACTTGTGTCTATTACATCCGGCGGAGGCGTACGCTCGTGGTCATGGTGCTTGACAGCTGTCGACGGTTCAGGAAACGAGGTGACGGCTGCTATAGCGGCGGTGCACTTTCCCGAGGAAGTGTCATCATTACGTTCCCATCGCACGCACGGCGCGTGAGCCGGACCACGCTCCTTGCCACGTGTCAACCCTTCGTTGGCCCCTTAATCGGCGCTCCCCCTATAAATGCCGGGTTTTCCCCCTGAATTAGGGTTCCCAATTTCTGCTCCTTTGCTTCAGAATCCCCGCTGTTCTCCGAGTCCTCTACTTGGCTTCTGAGTCCAGCCAGTTCTTTGCAAGGTAATTTTCCCTCCTCTGCTTCTTCTCTTTGTCCCGATTCCTAGTCGAAATGACTTCGATGGAGATTTCGTCAAGTTCTGATTCCGGTTCGTCGGGTTCTTCTTCGGGCTCCTCTTCTGACGACGTGAATGCGCGCTCCCCGGGGAAGGCCAGTGTTTCTGGGACTTCTGGTTCGGCCACGACGGTAGGGACCATCCGGGCTGATGGTGAGCCGGATGACGCTTCCCAAGGTAGTGGGAGCGATGCCGGGGATGGAAATGCTGACGGGGCAGTAGATGTCATTGACGCAGTCCCCTTGAATGAGCGCCCCGCCGATTATGATTCTGGGGAGGAGGCCGAATCAGGCTCTGACATGGAGGTGCATGATCTGGGCATCCCTACGGACATGGAGCGCCACATCTGTCCGATCAGAAGCGCCCTCGATCATGACCAAGTCCTCTCCCGCGTGGCCCTTAACAAAATCCGCACCTTTTTCCCCCCGCCGTTCGTCTGGAGCGTGAGAGGCGCCGAGAACGTGATGAGGAGACGTCCGGGGATGATCATGCTTCATTTGGACTCCGTCGAAGCCGGGCTGCGGTTTCCACTTCACGCATTTTATGTGGAATTCTTCCACTGCTTCCAAGTGGCCCCGGCGCAATTCATGCCAAATTCTTATAGGTTCATATCGGCCTTCTTGGTGCGCTGCAAACTTGCGGGGGTCGATGCCACCTTGGATCTGTTCCACTACTTCTTCCGGATCACCCCTCAGAATTCTGACGGCTACCTGAGCGTGGCCGCACGTCCGGGGAGGAGGCTTTTTAAGAACTACCCCTCCTCCATTCATGATTGGAAGAACCGGTTCTTCTTCCTCCGTTACGACGGTCCTCCCCTCCCAGTTCGTTGGAATGGCTACCCCCCGAAGATTGAGTCGCCGGAGTTGACCGATGACCTGAGCGAGGCCGTGGAAGGCATCGTGCAGGGCGGCATTCGCCCCATAGCTGGCTATCTGACCTTCGAGGCACTCTCGGGGGCAGGCATAGGTACCGCCCGTGTTCCTGGACTTTTTCCACCCTTCGACGCTCGTCTCGGGGCACCGGGCGGTCCTGTCCTTCGAGGTGAGTGTCTTGTTATATTCCCCGCTCGTCTTTTAATCCTTTACTG